CCTCTAAAACCTGCAGGACAGGGGGCCTTGAGGACCGAGTTTGGGGATGCCTGATCTAATTCATGTAAAGAACTTTGAATTGTCCATGCATGAAATTATGCTATACAAATAAACTTGCCTTGCCTTACTAATAATAATAGCACTACTGATGAGTCAAAGCACCCATTCACTCAACTGCTCTCTTAAACATTCACACAATCATACACTAATAAAAGTAGGCAGCTCAGAGTTCAGTGTCTTGCCAAGGGGGACACCCACATGTGAAGCTAGAATCAAACTTCCTGCTTTGTGATTATAAAAAACCTTCTCACTGAGCCACTGTTGCACTTTTTGATGTCAAAGTTTTTCCCCCCCTGACTCAAACCAGATCATCGTTAACAAACATCAGATCTATATTTTGAAAAAACCACACTAATACTGAACCTCTGCAGTGGATTTGACAAAGCAGAGTAAATCCTGCTACACTTATAGAAGACATCAACATTATGCCAGAAGTTATTTGATGACTTAAAGGAAAAGTCGGGTCAGGAATGATAACCAAAGGGTCATTATCTATACCTGAAACTAATACGTTTGGGGTGATTTAATGAATTTAGCGTTAATCAGTAAAAAAAATAACATTTTCCACACCATCACTGAGTGTGGAAGCAACCATTTTTGTCCAAATATAGTAACCCCCCTCTCCTGACATCTTTTGGCAGCGACGTCATGGTGTGGTAAGCCTAGCGCCGCTCTCCCCTCTTTACAAGCAAAATCAATGGGCACTACTAGACACATTTGCAATCAACAACAAGATTTCCAGAGGACTTCACCATTGAAATTCACCAGAGCTATAGTTAAACTGACAATGCCCACGTGCAAGGGAGTTGGATTTTGTAATACTTCGGGTAAAAGTGAAAAAAATGATTACTTATTTCACCTTTCCCATTCATGATTCTCCATGAACGGGTTCGTTGTTGGATTGCCAACTTGAAGAGGGATGATTTGCCATCGAACTTCTGGCCAGAGAAAAAACACGTCATTTATCTGTTACTCTCTGCTTCGCATAGTGCACTGGTCGTCGGCATTGTGGATAATAGCGCATTGTGACTAACACCAGATACAGTACAGCACTGGAGCTTGCCGATACCGTATCGTGACATCACAATTCAGTACTGTAGGTGGCAGTGGTGTTCTTTGACAAACACGGACTTCTCCAGTAAAGCACATTCAAATAAAATTACTCTTAATTTAAAACACTTATCATTTATCGAAAAGTATGTACAGTAATAATTTTATACTTTTAAAGTACTTTCAGAAGTTTGCATTCTGGATGTGACCGGCCTTTTCCATTAAACAGATATAATTTGGGTTGGATATAAATATTTTAGCCTTTTGCATAGAAATGTACATGCATTAAAGCAACAGAAAAAGGAAATAACAGAGCAGTAAAACATTTTCATCACAGCAGGTATTTATTCATTTAACCAGAACCACTGTCAGCATTTTAACCAACATTGTACAATTGAACCAAATTGAATTTGGTTCGAATTGAAAGGAAACGTGCCTGTGCATATTTTACAAAAAGAAATGTGTTTGTTTTTTTTATACCCACATCCTTTCCTTTACCAAAGCAAAAAAAACACTTTCTTTAACCAGTCCCTGAATTTTTCACACACATCCCACTTTCTCACAACAGTCTGTTACAGAGGGATATTTACAAGTCAGGATTCAGACAAAATATATGTTAGTAATATGCAAGTAGCTTGAAAATACTGTGATTCCGTGGAAGAAATAGTTCCTGAAGTAAGCCTGCCTTAATGTTTTCATTATTACAGCTCACGCTAAGTTTAATTCAGGCCAGAATCCTTTTAAATTGGTACCATCGTGGAGGTCGCCGTTTGCTGGGATGTCAAAGTTTGGAAAGCTGAACCAGGTTCCTGTTGATTTCAGCAACATTTCTGCAACCTGTATCATGTAGGTTATGGTTAAAAAGAAAGGATTCTATGAATAAAACGATCAGTGTTCCTTTATAGGTTTCAGTTTTACTCAGCTAACTATGTCTATCAGACTGACCTGATAAAGCCATTGAAAGACAGAACTCTTCATTCAGGATCTGAAGAACTTCCCTCACTCCTTCCTCCCCCTGATAAATAACAAAATATATAATTAGTCCATCAATCCAACAACAGTCAGTACTGATATAGTTTCTTGCCTCACTGGGGCATAAACTTGACCTTACAGTTCAATTAGAAACCAAAACACAGAGGCTATCCTGCCTAGGACTTCGTCCTTGGCAGGCCTTGGTCTGTGTTTTGGGCTTTAAAAGCATAAATAGATCACACTTTTAGTAATATTTACAATCAGAAATCAAAAGGAACCCCAAAAGAACATTAGTTGTACCTTGTATGCAAGGCCCCACACTGCTGGACGGCCAATGAACACGCATTTGGCTCCCAAGGCAATCGCCTTGAGGACATCACTTCCTGTCCTGATTCCTCCATCTACGTAAACCTCAACTCTGCCGGCCACCGTGTCCACGATCTCTGGCAGCGCATCAATCTGTTTGCAACAGAGGGGAAAAATACAGCCCAATATTATGTGAAGGTTCACTCACCAATCTGTTGTTTCTTAGAAACTTATTTCAGACTGACACGGTTCTTTTCACTTTAAGCTCCAGTGTCCTTATTGGGAAAATGAGGATAGCTTGTATATTCTTAAAAACCATCAATTGTACAATAACTATGTTCAATTTTTAAGAAAAATAAGAGAAAAAAACTTTAAATAAAAACAAAAAGAAAAAAAGAAAAACTTAAAAAATAGAAAGCAAAATGCTAGGAAAATTGGAGAGGAAATGGCGCTCTACATGCCTACAGGAATCCTAGTTTGGAAAAATACTGTAGTTTACTGTTGTATAAAATGACCCTTCATTAAGCGAAGGACGCATAATTCTCCTCGTTAGTAGAGAATAAGAATAAACCTAGATATCTTTCTAAAACAGTTGCCAAACTCACCCAGAGCCATAGCTTAGTTGAAACGTCACTTTACGTCACATTACTGCACTTACCGGTAGCAGTAATGATTTTAATTGATTCTTTATAAATAAGATTTATTCAATAAAAAATAAGATCATTGGCACCCCTCTAAATATGGTTGTCTTTTCTCTGGAAGGTGAGGAAGAGGCCTTCAAGACTGGGGACAAATGCAGATACAAAGATGCAAAATACAAGTTCTGCAAGACTGTGAAAGAGGCTGAATGACTGTATTCTGAGAAGCTGCAAAACCATTTTGCAGCCAGCAACTCTGCGTCTGTCTGGAAAGGGCTTAGACGGATTGCACATTACAGGCCTAACCCCCTCAATTCCATGAACAACCAATGCTTAGTAATGACCTGCATGACTTCTACTGCTATTTTGACAGACAAAGGGGCAGTCCTGCAACCACTCGACATGACACCTGCTTGAAATCCTCCACTATTATCCCTGTTCCCGAGAAGCCATGGTCCACAGGACTTAATGACTTTAGTACCCATCACCCAGACCCCTGCGGTTATGAAGTTCTTTGATTGCTTGTGCTTTCACATCTAAAAGAAATCGCTGACCCCCTACAGTTTACCTACAGAGCCAACATGTCTGCAGACGATGCTGTCAACTTAGCCCTTCATTATATCCTCCAACACCTGGATTCCGCAGGTACCTACATCAGGATCCTGTTTGTGGATGTCAACTCTGCTTTTAATACAATCATCCCAGCTCTGCTTCAGGAGAATCTCTTCCAGCTGAATGTGTCTGACTCCACCTCCAGGAGGATTACAGACTTCCTGTCTGGCAGGAAGCAGCACGTGAAAATGGGAAAAGGCTAGGAAAATATGTGTCCGACTCACAGCTCATCAGCACTGGTTCCCTCCAGTGCTGTGTTCTTTCTCCTCTGGTCTTCTCCCTGTACAACAACAGCTGCACCACCAGTCATCAGTCTGTCAAGCTTCTGAAGTTAGTGGATGACACCAATATGATCGGACTTATCGCTGCAGGTGACGAGTCCGCATACAACACTCTAAAACAGTGGAGATGGTTGTGGACTTCAGGAGGAACTCAGCCCCAGCTCTCCCTATCACTCTCTGTGACCCTTTGTGACATTTACCAGTGTAGTCTTTCCGCTTCCTGGGAACTAACATCTCACAGGACCCAAAGTGCGAGCTGAACATCAGCTCCCACCAAGAAAGCCCAGCAGAGGGTGTAGTTCCTGCGACAGCTGAAAATTCAACCTGCCAAGGAAAACAATGGTGCACTTCTACTCCTCCATCATTGAGTCCATCCTCGCTTCCTCCATCACCATCTGGTAGTCTGGTGCCACCACCAAGGACAAGGACAGACTGCAGCATGTCATCCTTTCTGCAGAAAAGGTGACTGGCTGCAATCTTCCACCTCTCCAGGATCTGTACGCCTCCAGGACTCTGAGGCATGCAGGGAAGATTGTGGCTGATCCCTCGTACCCCAGCCACAAACTATTTCATTCACTTCCCTGTAGCAGGAGGCTGCGGTACATCACCACCAAAAAAACAGTTTCTTCCCATCTGTTACCAGCCTTATCAACAAGGTCCAAAGACCCCCGTGATGCTGACACTGCTTCGTTCCCTCCCTCATTCAAGACCTAGAAGCTACACCAACGTAGCATCTCCTGACCTCCTGCATTACATTAACGCATAGCCAACTGTGTATATAGTATATAGCTGCATATAGTATGTTTTATATTGCATATAACTATAGAATGTGTATTCTGTATATATATATATATATATATATATATATATATATATATATATATAAATATATATATAATTTGTCTGCACCATAGACACCTAGTCAACTTCCTTCTTAGTGCAAACCTACTTGGCAATATATCTGATTCTGATTCTTCTGATTCTGACATGGCAGCTGGCTCTGAGCTCATCTGCCTGGTTGTGTTTTTCCTGTATGGGGCCGCCAGTGGAGGTTATTGACAGTTGCTTTTTGTATCTCTGCATCTTTTTCTATGTCTGCTTCTGTCTCCTTGAACCCCAGTCAGCCTCGGCAGATGGCCGCTCATGCTGAGCCTGGTTCTACTGGAAGTTTCTGTTAAAAGCAAAGTTTTTCATCTCCACTGTCGTTACAAGAATAGCAAAGATGTAGCATATCAATATTGTAATATAAATATTTCTTATTGCTTTAATAAATAAAATAATTTCTCACACACTTTTGTTAGAGCTGCATTAAAGAGACCAAAGAGCTACATGTGCCTCAGGACGCTATGACAGAATATTCTGACATAGCAGATTTCTCACAGAGATTACTTACGCTCATATAAACAGCATGGATACATTTCAATTCAATTTTAAAACTTAGTCAGACAATGATTATTAGATTTGGAATGGCATCAAGGAAAAGTTATGTCTCCATGTTTTAGGACATTTCTAATTAAAATCAACAAAGGGAAATTAGAAGGCCGTAAGTTTTTTGTGGGTTATTTTGCTTCAACTGACTGCTCTTCCTTTTAAGTAACTTCATGCAGTAAATTTATTAGTACAGCCGTACTAATTCTAATTATCCTACAATAATATTTAATCATTCTGTGATAAATCTGCTTTATAAAGTTGAGAGATGAGAAACGTGTTCAGTGTCTACCGATGCTGGGCCGCCGTCCAGCTGTCTCCCCCCATGGTTGGACACAATTATACCCTGGACGCAGTGGTCCACAGCCAGCTCGGCGTCCTCCTTGGTCAAGATGCCTTTGATGATGATGGGGAGGCGGGTGATAGACCGCAGCCAGGTGATATCCTTCCAGCTGATGGAGGGGTCCAGGGTATTGGCCGGTATCCCGTACTCCTCTGGACCTCCTGTCTCCTGCTCATAGTGGAAGAGAAGCAATAATTGCGCTATAAATGTTGACTTGTGGCTTTTAAAATTAGAGTTTTTAGCATGAGGACAGGTTTAACCATCACACTAATCAGATGGATGTAAAAATACTAAAAATGCAACTTCATAAAAAAAATTTCACTTCCTCTAAATGCTTGCCCAGATTATCACTAGTGGACAGCAATAAATGTTATTTTAGTTTTCTATTTTTTTTTTTTTTGTGGGGAAATAAAAAAGTAGATCTTATTTATAGACTTCTGCATTCTCAGGCAGATGCACTGTAGTCAGTTTTGCACCTTCTCTTTTTATCTGTTTTTCTCTGTACTGTAAATCTACCCTTACCTGAAACACCCCCTCAAAGTTCTTGACCTTGAGGTGGGGTGGTAGCCTGAAGTGGTTGCGGATGTCATTGCGCCGCTTCCCAGTGTAGGGGACGTCAACTGTGAGGACCAGGGCCTTGTAACCCAGTGCCTCCACACGGTGCACGAGCTGCTCGGAAAGCTTTCTGTCTCTGTACACATAGAGCTGGAACCAGCGGTAGCCGTTCGGCGCCGCTGCAACGATCTCCTCCGCTGAGCAGGTGGAATAGGTGCTGGCGATATAGCAGGTGTTGAGAGCCTCCGTGGCTGTAGTGTGAAATCATTATTGTGATTAAAATTGATGGGTCTTCCATTAAAGGTAGAAAGATTTAATTTTTACATTCACAGTTCTTTGCTAAGTGGTAGATTATTGTGTGCTTTAAGCAAAATGGTTGCAACATAGGTTTGCCTTTTTGATTTTATAAATCAAAACTTGAGAAAAAGTAGCAGGAAGTTGTATTCTATTTATCCTCCTGACTCTGGAACCCATTAAAGGGATTCACGATTAGCCATGACAACTGATATCATGTAAGAAATATTTATTTCTTATTTAAAAACATTACAATCAAAATACTGTTAGTTGTTTAGTTTTTATATATAAAAAAATTTTGTCATGACACTGCCATGCTGTTTATGCTGCAATGCATTCTGGGTAAATGACCAATGCAAGGTCCTGTAGCATAAGCTCCGTCCGGCTAAAACAACAATCAATAACATTGAACCTTTTCAGTGTGAACTGTTTACATTGATGAAAATGCAGAAATGAAAGGAGTTGATGAAGATCAGAAGAGAGCAATAATTAGTTACATTTAATTAATTAAATTTGCTTGGGTAACAATTGGAAAAATATTTATTTTTAGAAGTAGGTTTGCTGTGCCGTACTTTTTACAGGTAAAATAAAAAATTAAACTCCTATTTCCAAAAAAAAAAAAACATAAAAAGAATGCATTTCAATAAATAGTGTGAAAGTATAGAAGAAACTCAGTGTTGAATTAAAGCAATGTCCAAGCATGAGGCTCTTTAGGAAAAGGCTCAAACTGTTTTAAAAAAAAAACAAATGAGATGGAAGAAGGGTGGTGAACACCAATGGGCACTCTTAGTCACCCTAGATGGGTGAATACTTATTTTTGCAATAGTTGTGGTCATGTGGGCTGTGGGTGAAAACTGTATAAATAAATATGTGTGGGAGGCTCTTGTGAATCCGTATTCTTATATATAAATATATATAAACAAATTCATTTAGTCACTTAATGAACTTTAGGGGAAGTATGGACTGGTGTTAAACAGGAATTGAGAAGTTAGTTGATGTTATGGACAACAGGAAGGTGAAGATCTATAATTAAATGCGTCAGCCCTTCATACCCCTTTTCAAACATAACCTTAAATTTGACAAAAAATATAATTATATATTTAATAAATTTTACCTAATTTTGCATGTGTTCAATTCTTCTTTTTTTTACTACATTGTCTCAAGTTTATTTTTAAAAATACATTATTTTCTATGTTTATTTGTTAAAACCTTGGACAACCATTCCTTCCACATTTCAACTATTGTGGATTGTGGTTGTAAATACTCTTGTAAGGCATATTAGATAAATAATTACAATTTGGGTCAATTTGCACACTTGGTACTATTAATGAGCATAGTCAAGATGACAGGGAACGGGCACATGCAGGACGCAATACTGATAGTTTTAAAACAGTCTTCAAGGATTTGTTTATTACTTTTGATCAATAGGAATTGAGCGATATTAGTTTGTGAAGCTGCTAATTATAAGTCACAAAGAATTCAACTCACAATACACTAAATTAATTTAAGCTTGCAATACTTCCCTCTAGTGTTTGCTTTGTCAAAATTAAAACTTTTTTTGCAAGCAAAATTTTTCAAAGTGTTTTACAAGTTTTACAAATGCATTACACAATTGGTACATGGTGTATAAGTAAAGCTTGAATTGAAAAAAAAACTAATTCAAAAACTTTTTAAGCTCTTTTATTGGAATGTGCAATATGAATCTTAAAAAAACAGCATTTTGATCAAACTGAATTCCCCTATTTTCATAAGATTTAAACAGGTATGGAAAGAGAATCATTATATGAATGTCAGTTCTTCCGGGGGCAGAAGGAACACTGAGACATAATCCAGTACGAAAGGCAAGATATGCCTTCACTGGGTTCTTTTTTATTACAATCAAAATAAATCAATACAAACGCAATAATGTGGAGAATTGACAGTCTGAGTTTTTATGTTTTCTATCCAGACGATCGTTCTTTGTTGTAAATACTACACATTAACAGTGTACTTTAAGGCTGCTTTTATTCTAGATAATGAAGCAATTAACTATTTTACTCTCAGCAGGTGGCACTTTATAGAGGAGGTTAATGTTACCGTGATTAGCTGAGTTAGGTTTCCACAAAATATCACATCAAAGTATAAAAGTATAAAGCAAGTTAATGAGTGAAAGGGTTTAAATTTTCACTCATTATCACACACACACACACACACACACACACACACACACCCACCCACACATTCATTTTATATGGCCTAACCCAGACCCTTTCCTTAACCCTTACTATTACCAACATATCTAACCTCAACCTAAACTGAATTTACACCTAAGTCCTAAACTTAGTTCTAACCCCAAAGAACTGTTGGGATCTGGAGGTCTGTCTATTTTTCTCCACCAGAGGGCGTTCTAGGTCTCCTGGAGCTGGAGCTGACTTCACCACCTGCGGCTCGTTTGCTCATCAGGAGACCAGTATATAAGGAGGCAGAGGACATCACTTCGACGCCAGAGTGTTTGCCAGTTATGGTTAGCAAGCCTGAGCCAACCTGCCTGTCTGAATCTCTGACTCCCAGAAAGCCCGAACCTGAACCTAATCTGTTTTTGTCCTCTCTGCTTCCCAGGTTGAACCTACCGGAAACCTGAAACCTGGAAGAGTTTCTCTGCTGGAAATCTGTCAGTCTGATCTCAGAAGAACCCTGGAGAATCAAACCTGTCAAAGCCCTGCCTGCCCGCTCTCTGAAGAATCT